GTGATACTTTATTCCCACATTATCACCCAAATTTCCCAAGACAATGAGTAATGAAGAAACAAACTTCATGAAAGGAAATAATGAATCACAAATAGCATATAAACAAAATAGGAATGAAAGGGTATCAAGAAGCACCACTCGTATCTAATGTTAAATGCGTTTTAGGATTTTCAAAGTTTGGATTCATACGCCGTTAAACAGGCTAAATGTCCCGCAAAAATCCAACGCATTTAAAATAAGTAAAGCAAAAAAATCGTTTAAGGCTTATGTTTTTAACTGTGATGCGAATATCCATTTAGAAATCTATAAAACACAAGTGAATAATTATTCAATTCATTTAATATAACACAAAATCATTTACATTATTAATTCATTTCATTTATGGAAATAAGCAAACGCTTTGATTAAATAGCACCTTATATGAATTATATTTTAAAGAATATTCCAGAGGCCTGTTTGGACTTTAGAATTTAATAACTTTAAAGTTGAGAGATAATCATATTAAACCCACAAAGAAATCTGACAAAGAAATACACAAGGAAATCTTTTATCAGGACTAATGCACGTGTTAGCATTTCTATTTTCTTGGAGTTTCAACTCATAAATCAATTTGCTTCCGAATCATGGAGAATTACATTTAAAATTGGTTTAAAATTGAATTACGTTTAAAATTGTAGTTTTCTTGCTATTTTACCGATATTTTTGAATTGTAAATATGGTAAATCCAGAAATTTTTGGTTTTATCTTGCAGCATATCAATACTTCTGAATATAAAAACTACTCCAAATTTATGCCAGATAACACCAACCTTTAGCCAAACTTGACCAAACGACCAATGTGAAAAACATCGTTCACGATAAAACGTATGAAAATTTTCATTAAAAATATAATTAAAAATAATCCTAGCAGTTACAACTTCAACACAGAATAAACTTATTGTAGCACGAGACCAATCTTTTCGGGTGCGATATCGGGACATTTCCAGTTGTACAGATAATACTGCAAATTTCCATCACCAATACCAAACTTGAGGTCTTCCAATATTTCTTTGTTGTCCATGAGATCAAGTGCGTTGAATACATCAAATCCGCACTATAAAATACAGGAAATAACTTTTTAAATTCAATTTGTAACCACAGAACTAACAATAACAAAAATCTCAGCCCTTTAGTGCAGTCAGTGTTTTGCTGCTTCCAGTACTACATGCCAAAATGATTATCTATTAAACAACCTTCCTTAGCAAATGTGACACCAATTTGTTTTTTTGTGACAAAAGCAATCGAAAAAATGAGCGATTAAAATTTAAAATTGTGCCTAGAATTTCGGATCTAATAGTCAATATCAACCAATAATTGAATAATAACCATACATTTCGTGCAAGAATAAGAGCATCATTGATAAGCTGCTTAAGAGTTACAGATGTGGCAACATTGTAGAATGAATATGCTGCACGAATTGATTTATACTGTGGATGATGCATGACCGATGAAGGCAGTGAGTAAAAGCTGATCAAGTCAGTTACTTTCTTATCGTCTTCACTCTGAAAATTTTCAGTGCATGAAGTAGCAACCTAGTCTCTGGGAATTTATAAAGATCTCTGTGGTCTGTATAAATTCTGATTTAATTTAAATTCTTAATTATAAATACAAATATGTTTATCCAGTAGTTCGAAAAGCTCATGTTAGTGAAACGAAAAAGTTTACTATAACTTAAGTAAGTCTTGAATAAAGTAGCAGAAATTGACATTACAGAAATAAACGAACCAAAGCAACGTAACTGTAGATGACATCCTCACGTGGCATAAAGAAATGCTCGAAATCAGCTAGAGTAAATTCAGGAGATAAGTCAAATTTCTTCAGGTAACATTGTAATAAGCCATACGCACCATCAATATGGCATTTCTTCATTGGTATCAAATTTGCCGTCTTGGGTTGCTGAAATAACACTATCTAATATCATAACAGCTTGATGTTAATGTGTTCGGGATTTTAATGTTAAACTTAGTAACGCTGACTTTTCGTCTATGAAGTCAAATGCTTCTTTGTTTCCACTTCTAATTTTTATTGTTCTACCAGTATTACTCCGGAATCAATTTGCCCTAACAATGACTGATGTTACTTGTGCATAAAAAAGTCTGCAATTAACTCCAGATAAAACATACCTCCGGGAGTTTGTATAACTTCAGAGTTCTCTGCATTGTCATTTTTCGTGAAAGGTGTGAAAATTTCACTTCAATAAGCTTTTTTGGATTTAGCGAACGGTGCCAATATCTTGAAAAGTAAAAACCCTTGCATTTAAACTTTGTCTTTTCCTTAACTTTATTCACATATGTTTTTTAAACTTCATTCATATAGCACAAGACTTAAGGAGAAAATGAAAATACAGCAGACAGTAAACTGCGACATCGAAAGTACAATACCTGCATGTCGCAATGGGTTTCGGTAAAACGACACCGGCTGTGAATGCTGCTTGAAAAATACCTTCTCGGTTCACACGGCGAGTGATCTCACGAATCAATACTGGAGCTACTCTTTTTGAACGAAGTTTCTTATGCACGCAAAGAAAATTAATTTCTACCATTTTAACTTCCTAAAACGAAGTGATTTTTTAATAAATGCTTAATAAAGAAAATAGAAAAAAAGACGAAGTATATAGCAATGGCTGAAAAATGAACTTTGCAAATATGTGAATTATAACGACAAATTACTTTACTTTACAATGTATCATATATTATGTGAATATGCATAGTTATCCTATAAGCATATCCAGTCAACAACAGTCCAGACAAAGTACCTTTAAGTTTTCTAATACCGGGTAAAATCTCATTTATTCTTTTTTTTTTTTAAATTAGAAAGGGCAACAATGCAGAATTCTACACATACGTATATATATATAATGGTTATTATTCCATTATATGTATGAAACAAATATTAAATCAGCTAATAATATCACCACTCGTTGTATTAAAATCGAAAAGTACCTACTTTATTATAAACCCGTATAACTGAAGGGATAGCAGAAATAAAGGCAATCAATTTTCCACTTGCTTTTGCCCGAACACCGCAATGCCATTTCTTCATCCATCCCGGAGCTTTCAGAGCCCTAGAATTTGCTTGGGATGTCAAATGGATTTGACTTACTTTTATAAGCATTGATTTATACACAATTGGGTATTTCTTATGGTTAGGAAAATAAGTTTTGTTGCTTATTATACATAAAACAAAATCCTTTAACAAACTAGTTTAAACGTTACTTAGAGATCTCAATCACTTTATAATGAGGCTATACATCACGATGTTAAAATATTAAAGTATAATTACTGAACATAACGATTCTTTCTATCTAGACTTTTAGCATTTTGTTCATGGATAGCTAATGAATGATAATGTCCTTTGACTATTTTTATTACCAAAATGTCACAGGAAAAAAGTTCGCGAACCAAAGCAAAAACTGTGGACTGTAATCAAATCGAAACATGTTATCATCATCTTCCACGTAATTCTCTGTTAGTAATGTGTACAGTTCGGTAAGCTCCTTTACACTATTAATTTCAACATCGCACCAACAAAAAGGATCCGGTAATGAAAACGGTTCTTCGCGTACTTCTGAGATATCCAATGGAGGTTCGATGGCTCTATTCTCCGTCACCATTTCATCTATAAATTAATGTAAAAATTTTTTGGCCAAAATTTCGAAATCAATGCCACATTTCTCATTTTTCGGTCTACTTTAAGCAGTCGCATTACAAAATTTTTTATGAGCTTACTGATTTTTGGAACCGGTTGTGTGTCCCAAAAAAGATATTTATGTCGCTGTGCCTCGGTAATGTGCCTAGCAGCTGATGTTCCACCAACCGTCAACATCTGCAAGTAATTAGTAAATATTAAGGTTTTGAAATAAATGAAAGTGACAATTGCAACTATGCAGAGCTCATATTTAACACCATTATAAAATTTTTGTCGCATTTTTGTCGCTCTCTTCGATTTCTATTTCTTTAATTTCGTTATTTTAATCGAATAAAAATTATCACCTCAAATTTCTTCATGAGAGCTGATTCGGTGAGTTCTTTGAGATCAATCACAGCGGTGGGACTATTCCGGTCCGCTATATTTTGAGTAGTATCATCACCGTTCTCCTCGCCATTATGTTGCGCTATCTTCGAATCACCAGCAGCCATCACTTTTTCATTCCCATCATCCAATTTCTCGTTTCCTGCCCGCGGTTCCTCCATTATTCAGAAATAAAAGACTAACGTCTTTCAGAACTGAACGATGTCAGTACTTTCCTAAACGTGAAATATCGATCAACTTAACATTTGAATTATAGCGATAACGCATGATATGTGGAAATGTGCAAGCAAATGTTGCAGTAATGACGGTGATCATTGAGAGCTGAGAAGTAATGAATGAGTATCAGTTGAAGATCAGTTTAGCAATACAGAAGTACTGTTAATATACACATGTTTTCCTTTCCCTCAGTTCTGCTCTGCTTCTCATTCATCCAAAATGAATGGTTTCCTCCCTCGTTCCTCACTCTCATTCTGAATTCATAAGAGATTTTGACATAAGAAATAACAACATTCTCAATAATATGAACGATGAATCACTATTCACTCTATTCACTATTCATTAAGCATACAATACTCACAAAATACAACGTGAAAGAGGTGAGAGATCACAAAGAAGTGTGGAAACAGACTGAGAGTAACACGAATCCTAAAAGGAAACTGAACTTGTAAACGTCAAAACTACTTTAGAATTCTCCTAAGCCCACTTTCGAATCAGGTGAACCATGCATTGCATGCGACGAATTGTGGAATCCCACGTAGAGTCGTTATAATTTACTATAAAATTAAGACTTGAATCTCGTGGGAAGGGAGATGTGATAGGACAGGGAATGAACAGGTGGGCACGAAGGAGATGTTAATAATTTTCGAGAAAAGATAACGCCCGGATTAAAAATTACCTTCTGATTGCAGAAAGATGCTGGAATCACTGAAATCACTTCTTTGAATCCTTAAATTTGGAGAAACCACCCATTCGGACATCCATGCTTTGTGGACAATGCTCCCCACATCGAGATCTACTAGTCTTCAAATATGCACATTTTAGTGTAGGTATTAGATTCTGAAGTCTTACCAAGTTTCCATCCATAGTTTCTAGTCCACTTCCCATAATAAAATTGTCGTCATCAATGCCACTCATATGACTCTTTAATGATTTCCGAATACAGCATTGAATATTTTGATCAAACTAGGATTAGTTATCTTAACTAACCTTTTGATAAGATTACTTTGTTATCATAGACGAATAGTAATGATTCAAGGACTTATTCTTTAGTTCATCTTTATTTTTAAGCAAATTTTAGACAAGCCGAAATAAACCTCTAAATGCAGCGATTTAATGGAGATACATATGCAACTCAGCTTACAATGTTACATCAATATTATTAAGCATTAAAAAAATTACAAAGCAAAAATTCAAAATCGTTTTTGATAAATTCCCCCGAGAATGAAAAAGTATTACTATAAATTTCAAACTCACAAATAGCTTTCACATCGCTCAGTTCGATTGCTTACCTACCAGTATCTGATAGCTTCCACATCATTGCTAATTAATTTAAATAGGTTAAACGGAGAGAAATAGGAACAGTTACCATTCGAAAAAAAGCAAAAGATGTCACCTTTAAAAATAAATACATAGAGAATAATATAAAATAATCAAAAATTCACTGGAAATTTTCAAATGAGTGTTTCCAGGGGACGCAAAAAACGGAGTTTAAAATATTGGAAGGAAAAAACCAAAATAAAAATATGAACAGAAAAACTCATAGCGATGGCAGAATTATAGAAACACATGTTCTCTTTCTCAGCTCGACAGCGTATGGCGATATACTCAATACGAGTCCCGGTAAACACGAAATTTTTAAAATAAGTTTGGGAGAAACTAGCTGAGTTCAATATTCTTTTTATTGAGTGACTGCTCTAATCACTGTTGGGAAACCAAAGTAATTTCATTATATAAGAATGCTTGGATAATCAACGTGTCTTTCTAATCCTCTGCCTCAAAAATTCTCAGTGAAATGATTCGATATGATTTGCTTAATATCTTAATTCGTTATTTTAGGGAGTATTATAAATAACTCCGCTTTTACCATCGGCTTCATCTATTATGTGTCCAAATAACTCTTTGTTTAATTATCAGTTTTATTGTCTCTCTATTATAAACGAATATCGTTAATGATTTATATCCAATGACTTGGTGTTTATCATTAATTAGTCTCCCATATCAAATGACCTTATCGTTCATTTTTTTGTGTTGTTAGTTCGTCTACAAAATAATTAAATTAATTATTTACTATAAACAGTGCTCATCAAGCACCGTCCAACTCGAAAGGTAACTTACTGCTCTTAAATCAAGCAGTCTTGCCATCTATATTTATCTGAACCAATTCCTCAACGAAGAGTCCCAAATTATTCTCTCCGATCAACGGTAAAGAAGAATAACCAAGTGATCGACTCAACTGACTATTTCCTGATAATTGTATTATAGAATCAGGAAGAATAAACTCGAATAAATCTTCCCAACAATCTTTTCCGCAAAACAGCAAACTTCTCAAATCAAAAATTAAATAGAATAGTGTGAAGCTTGCTAACATAAACCTCTATTGTGATGTTTATGTGCAATTTAATGATAATATCAAAATACGTCTAAAAGTGAAAGGAAATAATGCCGGCGATCTTCAGAATATAAAAAGACTATAAGACAGGGCGAATCAACTTAAAAAGCAGTACATATCAAAACAAAAACAAGGAACATGTGAAATATAAGAGGTGGGAGTATTCAAGTCCAGCTACAACATTTATTCATCTTCCTTGCCTGGGTATAAAATAATTTACTTTGATTGGAGAGGCCTTCACTAGCAGCGATTAAATCGTCGAGCTTTTCACCACGTTCCAGCACTGATTGTATCGTATTATGCAGTACTACTTTCGTTTCTTCTACTTCTTCCTGAAAAATGTACTTAAAACATTGGCGACGATCCAAAGCAGTGAAAGGCGAAACAGAATTGTCGGGTTGAAAATTCTATTTTTGTCGCATGAGAAAAAAATTAAGCGACAAGAAAATTTCCACGAATAATTCCAAAGCCTTTGATTAAACCTTTCCTTTATAAATACAAAATCAAAGAAACTTATTCGTGACCTGAACTCGTGTCATCGCATCTGCTTCGCGAGGATTTTGCCATTTCATTAGTAGTTCTGGTAAACCTGTGTAGGTACAATCTTTCTCAGTTTTTATTTGTGCCTGAAAATTATACACCACTCTTCTCCATTAACTAAAGTATATATAATAAGCAAATACATGACTGTCCGAGCATGAAGAGAGACCATTTGAAAATATTTTAATGGAAAAGTGACCAAATCATTAATCGCATCTTTACTTTCCATAAGTTAAAATCTAATTTCAATTTTGCCATTCTTTTTCCTGCAGTCTAGAAAATATTGCGTCTACACATAATCCATGATAGCGCGGCTTTCGATACAGCTGTAGATACTATACGGAAGAAATTGTAATGCAGACTTCCTATAGCACTAAGATAGCAATTTTTTAAACATCCAAATAAATCTCTGCAAAAGCACAATTTTCGCATCAAGAACTTCCACAAAGGAAGCAATTCAGAAATCGAAGAGATCGAAGTTTTTTGGTCACATTGTTAACTATATTGAATACTGGTTCGTTGTCCTCAACAAGAATGCAGCAGTACTTTCATATTTATTCTAGGGCATCGAAAGTTAGTTGAAGAACCATACAAAAGTTATTTCCAATCGATGCCGATATGCATTAGGTCCTCTAATGAGATATTCAAGTCCTTTTAAACAATGGATAAAATTTGCTAGTAAAATAAAGTTTTCTGTTTCCTTCTTCCAAGCCTTGTCAAAACATTCCAAAACATTCCGGCTGCCAATTCCATTCTCAAATAATTATTCATTTGCCAAATTATTTATCTTTTTTTGATGTTCCTTGACATATGGGAAATGAAACGCTGCTGCTGAATCGTTTCGTGCATAAATTATATTCACAAATCCTCAGCTGAATGAACAATCACATCCGAAATTATATCTATTAGCCCATCACTAACAGAAAATTTTATTGGGAGCTGTCAATAAGTTTTGAGTTAACTGTTGACTGTTATGCTTCTTCGCAAACATTTCCATATTTTTCTGATTTCAATCTAGACAGCATAGGTTACGCATTCACATCGATTATCCAACACTTTCCCCAGTGTTTTTCGATTGTGACTCAAAAAATCTAAAATTCTTGGATTGTTCATTCAACTGATTTTGATTTTATATGAAAGAAGTGAAAGAGAGAAAACAATGAAACTAAAAGATAAAAAATTAAACAAACCCATTGGACTAACGGCACTCTTGCTGCAAAATCGTCCAAGATTCGGCGTAACATAGTGAATGCGACACGCTGCTGATATTCTGCATCCGTTATACAAATGCCTGATAATCCGTCTTGTCGTACGAATCTGAAGATCACAAGATCTATATGTTCAAACTTTCTTCAATTGTTATAGAAGAAAAAGCTAGTGTACTAAGCAAATTCTTGTTGGGAATATAAAAAGGTCTTTCAAGAAAAAAAAATCCGATACAACTAATAAACACGTTAACCTACATATGACAAAAATATTCATTTTCTTTTACAGAACTTCGACTTGACAAAGTAGAACGTTCAACCAGTAACTTCCCCGTAAAAATCATAAATTCCTGAAAACCAGCTTACATCATCATTATATTCGAGAAAGCAAACAAACATCCCGTATAAAAAATTCCTATAATCTAATTCAAACTATCTGAGTTGGTGCAATATTCCATGTAAATAATAAATTATTTGTTATTGTTTCCCATTTTCAGTCACAAAATGTTAAACAATTTAAAATAAAGGAATTACGAACAGTTGACGTCGGAAACGTCATTTCCGAGACTATATTATCCTGAAGAAACAAATCAATAGTCAACTAACCTGAACGGAATGTCGCTGGAAGAAACTGAAACTGCTCAAATCATGAGCAGATTTGAGAGCCTTTGCTTTGCCATCAGGGCCTTTATGAAGCACTTGGACTGAAAAAATCTTCATCGATAGCCCAGAAAGCTGGACAAAAACTTCGATAATCTGAACGTATCCAGGTTGTGCCTTCCTAAATTCACAGATTGTTCCACATTGATCGGCTACACAGCTATAAAATCGAAATCTATAACACAAGAACGAAAACTGAAAAGAAGCAGAAAGGATAATGAAAAGGCTATAGTTAAAATTAATTAACTAAAGAATTACCGGAATAATTTTAACTTTTTCCTATGATCAACGATAGAATTTATATAGAATCTCCAGAAACACTGCATTATCAAAATTTTGCTTACGATGAGCTTTTTCATTAATTCCAATCTCTGACTTAATCAGTATTTGATAATTACATGTTTTCCACGATTCTTAAGAGTGAAAGTTGTCTCCTAGGACACTCTGGAAATTTTTTACAAAACACCGTTACTACCAATTAAAAGCATTTAAATCCTAGGCTGTGAAAGATTACAGGCAACTATCAATGAGGTCGCTTTCCCAAGTCATTCACAATCGAAACTTCTCAACAAATACTTTCGTCCAGTTGATAAAAAGAACCCAAAAAATAATATATATATGATAAGTAAGAAATTACGTAAAAATCGATAAACAAAAACTACAAATTAGAACATTTACGGCATCATTTCCCACTATAAATTGGGCATGCAAGCCACGATAAAGTTTCATGTACCATTAAAATGGAAGGCTGACCTAAAACATGCTAAAAGAATTAAAATTTTCGGAAATGAAACAGAAAAAAGTGAAACACCAGAATCATAAATTCTTCAAACATAGTTCAAATCTCTACACTTGTGCAATTTAATTCGCTGTCTTCTAGCTCATACGTTAATCCCGATATATAACTTCCACTTAAAGGAACAAGCTATATAGAACGCAGATAGAAAAAGAGAATTTACGTATTATACGTATATGATCAAATTCTTGTTTGGAAGCTGAGCGAAGTAAATCACGATGTACGACTCTCACAGCAATGTAGACGCATTAGATTTCAGTTGGAATATAGTAATTACAGCATAATTTTTACTGTTAAGCAAAGCACATACAACATATACAACCTATGCCACGATTCACTACACAAATCACAAAAGAAGCATTCATTTGAAAATGAACGATGTATTTAAATGAGACAATCACGGTGTTCCACTTTTCTAAGTTTCTTCTTCGCTCTAGAGTACTAAAACACTGTCTTTCTCTCGGCGCTCAAAAATATGAAGTTATATTGCGATTCGAACAAGCGATCTATGCAATTACATATTTCCGATGATCTTTGCAAACCAAATAAGAAAAAGGCTTTATACTTTGCTTTAAAAATGACATGTATTCATGAAATTTATGAAAATTAAGTCAATCTAATGAGCTGAGATAAAAGAAAACTGAAAAGGAACAAAAGGTAGAATACAAAATAAACAAAAAATGCACATACACAGCTGACTGAAGTCGTAAATGGATTACATGTAAGGATATGAAGTTATTAGAAAAAGAATAAGTACGATGTCAAAAAATGTTTCCTACATCCCTTCCGGCTTCTTACCTTATCTTTTTCTTGAAAATTTAATTAACGGAATGGAGAAAGAAGGATTGGTCATCATTTGCTGCCAGATGAATTCAATTCCGACCCTTGTGAACAAATTTCAACATGAAGGGATCCCAACCTGTGAAAACTGTAACGAAATGAAATTACTTTTGGAAAGCAAAATTCCCAGTGAGCAATATTTTACAATGATTAAAAGCAGATGAAATATTCTTGCCCGTTTAAATACATTAACAAAAAGTTCAAAGCACATTTAATGCACCGTGAAAAAGGAAAGAAAGCGAGAGAAGTACGGAAAATAAAGATATTGAACATAACCTGTCTAATTCGATAAAATTAAAAAAAACACCTAACAAAGTACACGGTGTTGTCAACCGTAACCAGGTAATAATTTCGCAATTGCAGAATTCCATCCTTTCTCAAAATTTTTTTCAGTAAAGCGATTCACCGAACAGCGCGCAGCATCGCGTATTGAATTGCGTTGCTCAGGACTCATTCGTATTATTTCTAGAGCACTATCAACGAAATCTGAAAATGGATCAAATTCCGACAGAGACAAATTAAATTATGAATTCCGACAATAAATTTTTCTCTTATTCGTTTAACTTTGAATCTCAACATTTGCCTTTTCTCTACTGCCTCTTAGCAATAATTTTTTATTTTAAATTGCGTTTTCTTGTCTTGTTTAAAGACAGGTATGAAAAACATTGCTGTTAGAATGAAAAGGTATAAACATGAATATACTGCAGAAATCGTAGTCCGCAAATTTTTAATTTTCTTAAAATAATCAAAAGCATTCAGTAAATCATATTACTGTCAGAATTATTCAGCGAAAAACTAAAAAAAACTGCAAAAAATTCAACATACAGTCTAACGTTTTTTGGACAATTCGCACAATTTTGAAACATATTTCTCACTTGCACTTTTTTGAAGAGCTTCAATAATCTTATTAAGGAACAGGAAGATTTTGCAAAAAAAACCTACCATACACACTGGTTGCCAGTAGACCAAGCGAAGTTTTGCTTCCGACGACATTCGCATTTAATATATCTAGCTTAGGCCCACCTACAAATACTAGCTATATTGCATTTATCAAAATTTGTTCTAACTCTTAGCGCAAAACAAACACAAAAACTAAGTAACCTGAATTGTGAGCGATCATAATTTGGCCAGCAGCGATACCCTCCACAACTGATATTCCAAAATGTTCATTTTGCATAGTGTGGATACCGATCAATGATTCCTTAATTTAAAAATGATATATATTCGAATCTTATTCTCACATTTAAACATCAGATAAGTATGAAAGTTCTTTTACTTCAAGCAATGCTGCTACTTTGTCAATAGATGCATTAAGTGCCCATTCCAGGTCATCATTGCTAAGACCCATATCTTTTGCATAGAGTTGCAAATCTTTGGCACGTTGAATATCGACCATATCACGACATCCACCGCATATTACCAATCGAATCTATAATAATTTCATGATCATATTTTGATACCTTTTTTTTCCTAATTTGAAATATAAATCATCCCTAGCAGCAGATTTTAGAAACAATAGAAATTTTACAAAATCATTCAATCCTCCAAAATTCGCTTTTTATGTTATCGGTGATACTTAACGAAATCAGATTATGTTAATATAGAAAATCCACTTTATAGCTTAGATTTTCTTTCAATAACCGTTTCTTCAACTCAGCCAAGAAACAAATCTGCAATCGATGGTTTTTCTCAGGTCTTATTTGTCCGATTGACAACATCTGCACTCGTCTCTCTTCCCTTAGCAGTTCTTCCCCTCTGGAATTGATCCTGAAAAAAATTCATCACAATTCTCTTTTTCAACAATTGGCATATCATCATTTTGAAAACCATATAGTTTGTACCTCAGCAGATTATTAACGTTACATGGTGGATAAACGAGGTATGTACGATCGTCAACACCCCACAATGCCACAATATGATCGCGAGTCCAACTAAAATTTTAAAATAAAGAACAAGAAAAATTAAAGATTCAAAATCAAGTGTGAGACAAGTGAATTAGATATCTAATTCCGAAACGGTGAAACACAATTAATTTGAAACGTATAAACTATGTTCTAATGTACAGAAAAGAAAAAAGTTAGTAAGCAATTACAATGCGACAATTTCCCAAATCAAACGAAACATCTTGTTCAATAGATCACTAATATGCCTATTCTTATTCTTTTCGAATAACTTATTTAACAATTAATTTCGGATATACATTAATCTGTTAATTTTTTTATGCCGATGTTGGCAATTCAACTGCTTGAGTAACTGATAACAGCAAAAACTTTGAATGACAAATCAAATACTCACGTGCCATTAACCATAACAACTTCACTGCAAATACCACTGAAGTAGTAGAATATGGCGAATATATGATAATATATCAATTTAAAATAAGTAAAAAGTCGGTTTTTCGCTATCCACTGAGCATTGTTATAAGAGAGTTCGGCCGATTTCACCAATTTTATCATTTCTAAATGGGATATTCAACACCAAAACAAAGCATATTTAGAAGGTAACACAAATGAAAGCAAAATTAACCATGTGAAATGACAGGATAGTGCACATAGCAAGCGACATTGCATCCAGCCAGCCATCTGCAAGAAACATCTATAAAGATTTATTCTTGTTAAAGCACTGCTCAATAACATAATTTTTTTCAAAACAAATTCAAAATAAAAATATATCATCAATCTAGCAAATTTTGCTTGCTTTTACTATAAAAATCATCGAAACCTTTCTTTATCAATATAATGCAACACTGTCTGCTATTCCATCCGAACTTCTTTATCCCTCTACAAGGTAACATTTATTAATCTCACTTCCAATGTCACAGTATCTTGCATTATTTCGTATTTCACAAAATACTTTTGTATCAACTGTAGAAAGTGTGGTACTCCCATCTATTCTGCTTTCATCATTTTCTGAGCAATAAAAGAAAAAGAAATACATGTGGAACTGCGATAAAGGTTAATAGCAACCTGAATAACGGTAAAGCAAATGGATAGCCCATTGTGTCGATGAAAACATGTGGATTGCATCGGCACAATGCTTCGACACCAACCACGAAACCAGCTAAATTTTGAAGAAACAACGTCAAGTGCGGGTAATTGCTCGATTCTAACCAAGGTCGTGTACTATAAATAGAAAAAAATTTAATGCTTAGTGTTTCGTTAAGCATTTTTTTCCCAAATTAAATAACAAAAGTTAAAACAAAATAATACATTTCATTACGCACCTCTATAATTTCACGTGCGAATTTAGAAAAAGACTGTGATTAAATGAAAAAAGTTTGATTAAACGTGAAAAAGAGTACAAGAACTTATAACTGCAGTAATTGGTCAGCAATTAAAACTATAATTAAGCTCACGGATATAATTTTTTCCGTTAGATATTTAGCTCCTGGTTTATATACTACTACTGTAAAAAAAAAGAGTAC